GGCATCACTGCACTCCGGGCAGGTCGGACATGGACGCGACCGGCTACCGGCCGCGGCCGGACGTCGGCCGCTAGGCGCTAGCTCGTCGCCATAACTTCTCGTGTCGTGTCCTCCCATGTGGCCTGTGCCCTGCCTTTTACTGTTCAGCGCAACGACGAGTCACCTCAGTCGCGTGTGGAACGAAGCGATTATTCCCCAGCCAGAGTCAGCCGGGCTCACTCATCATCGGCCGATCCAGGAGATGACGAGCGACCCGGGCACTACGTGGACGGGTTTGGTTCGGTGCGGTGACAGCGGAGCCCGTGGCCGGCCGCGCCCGGTCAGTCAAAGCCGACGAACCTAACGAAACGAGCTAGCAAGCGACAAGCGCGCTGTCCGGCGGTGATTGGGCGGCGCAAGCGAGCGCCCAATGCAACCCATCACTGTTCCCTTTCTCCCTCCGCCTTGCCTGATTTCCCTTGCTAATTCCGGCATCCCGATTCGCTGCTCGTTTTGCGACCCGCGCGAGAGCGAGAACACGGAGAGCTAGAGCCAGGCCCGCCACGTCGCTGTCCGGCGGAGCGCGCAGAGAGCGATGGCACTTCGTAAACACCAGGCGATATCTGCGCGGCGGAGGCTTTTGCCCCGGAGCGGAGCTAACGGGGAACAGTGCTAGCAGGTGCGACCAAACCCCACAGTCGTTAGTGGGATGAACTCACCATCACAATTATCTTTTGGTTAAATCAAGACGCAACTACTCTGACCAAGTTGTTTCAGGTATTCAGCTGTTCTGGTCGCCAGCCCCAGGTGCAAAGCACTGTTAGACTAGAGAGAGACTGTTTGGCAATCTGGACTGATAAACCCGGCTGATACTGATTTGTTGTGAGAGAAAAACACTGTATTATAACTGATAAGCCCTGACCAAAGCCAACAAACGAACGGGCTGTAAATGTAACCTGGAATCCCGGTAAGTTCTTGCGTGTGGCTCTCCTGCAGGGTCTCTTGGCAAAGCATCGACAGCAGCTCCTACCTGAAACAGTCTTCCTATCTGCAGCGTTTTCGTACATGTGGATGAGGTGAGCCTAGAAGCTAACATCACGGATGATTAAAACATGTGCGTATATAGGGGCAAGGTTAGATTGAACTCAAAGTCAGTCGCCCTGTACGCTTTGGCTTGTTTGACTGATAAGCGATGGCTGAAAGTACTATTGGCTGATTTGATGTGAGAGAAAAATATTATTCGTTGGCTGAAAAAGTATGACTTATAAATCAAACAAGCCCAAACGAACAGGGTGAATGTACTACGCCATTCAAATTGTTACGTTTAGTTTAATAACTAATCAAATCATAACGATCGTAAATTTCAAATAGGAACGATGTTTTTTCTCACACAAACCAAATAAGCAATCTTTTTTTCACGAATCAATGACGAAACGAATCAATAATCGAATGTGATTAACATCAAAAGCTACCTTTTGGAGTATTAATTTTCTACTCTATATGGATGGGCTGGCCAATGCAACTTGACAGAGTAGGAGCTGGCCAAAAGTAAAGTGAAAGGAAAAACAACGTATCAAGCGGGGTCGGGGCAGAGATGCCACTTTGCTCCCCCACTTCAATCATTTGCTTCCACGTCATCTCCCCTTATTCAAAGCATGGAATCTTTCCTTATTTTACAGGGACAATCCCTACTCCAAGCAACTGCTCTGTGGTGCGGTACTTTCCTCTAATCAAGGCCGCCGTGCTTTAGAATTTGCTGGTACAGTTCAATGGTAGAAAATACAATTTTTATGTCTGATACTTCATGCCTCAAGCTTTACAGCGCAGGTGAATTTGGTCAGTTTGCTGCCTGCCTCGCTTGTGCCGTTGTGCAGCTGCCACGGTAATTCATCCAAACGAGCAGGAATCACGAATATTGTGTAAAAGGCAGGTATCACGAATTCCCAAACGTGATGGCAATGGACGCGCGGATTCGCTGCCGACAAGCCAGTTTTCGGCCAGGGCGGCCGTGATGCTGCTCCGCCGAAATGTGCTTCGCCAGACGCCAGTTGTGTGTAAAAGGCATCATCGGCGCGCGCGCACCACGAAAAAAAGAAAAGAACGAAATCGACCAAAAGCTTCTCTCAAACTCAAATAACGAGCATGTGGGGAAAAAGAACAACGTGCTGGGGGAGGTAAAACAAGATGCTTCGCTTCATCTTTTATCCCAGTCTGAAAAGTCGCCTGCCTGTGCTTAAAACAGGCGATTTCACACGGTCTCATTATTAATCCCGTCTACTCTAGTGAACAAATGACGTTAACAGGGCTCTCTGCTCTCTCCGTGCTAATCTGCCCCGGCAACCTAATAATTACCTAATGTTCTAGAATCTAGCAGTTCCAGCTGGAAGGTTAGAGCCCTACACCTAATAACGGTTGCTAAGAAAATGACTCGAATCATATAGGCCCGTTTGTTTCGCTAAAAAAACAAATCGAAACACTATTTCCGTTGATTTACTGTGAAAGGAAAACACTGCTTCGACTAAAAAAACAAGTTAAAAAGTACGGATTAGCACACAGGATGTGCACTGTAAATCACATCTCTTTAGCGGCAAATATCTAACAATTTTATAATGGTAAAAAAATCGCATTGCTCTGGCCGCATGGTTATGTCAGAAGACAATCGCTGACACTTCTGGAGCCATACTCGGACAGTCCAACAACTTTGTACCCTCTGTCCCAAAATAAAAGACGTTTTGGGTTTTCGTGTCACAAGTTTGACTCGATTTGTAGAAAATACGTGCAATATTTATATCTTCAAATAAATTTGTTAAAAAACTAGACAAAAAGATCTTTTCGATGATACTAATTACTTAGCATAAATATTTATATATTTTAATATATAATTGCCGGCAGTCATTTCTCAGGAAGCGAGAACGTCTTTTATTTTAGGACGGAGGGAGTACACCATACATTACCTGACGGAGGGCAGAGCAGTAATTGGTGCTGGTGAAGAAGACAGCCCCGTGACGACGGCCTGCCACCACAACTACCCCATCCACCACCACTAGAAGAAAAAGTGCAATCAAAACCCACGCTAATCCGACATTCTAATCCGCATATTAGCTGTGGTGCGGTTGGATCAGCGAGGCCCAAGCGCCATCCGCGTCCGGCGGTACAGGTAGTTATCGCTTATTAAATACCACCCGCACTTTTCCTTTCCTCTCCTTTCATCCCTCCGTCCGCCTCTTTCGGTCTTTCCTCCTGCTGCCTCCTCGGTGCTCCTTCGCTCCTCCGCCGCTCGCCGGAGCACCGCCGCGGGCGCTTCCTCCTTCGCCTTGGACCCGAAGCCTACGCAGGCTCCGCAGTCTACGCCGCGGCGGAGTTCGGGAGTCGCTTCCGTACGCTCGGGACGCGGCGGATCGGGCTTGCAGGGGCGGGCGCGGATCGGAGCGCGCGGGGACGCCGGTAGCGGCCACCGCAGGGGAATGTGGGTCCCCGTTTGAGGAGGTCTCGGGCCTGGAAGCTGCGGCGAGATGAGACGGTGAGCGATCTGAGGTTCTGTGGATTGCTAATCGTGAATTGGTGAGCGGGTGCACCCGCACTGTGGGTGGTTGGGTTTGTTTGAGAGGACGCGGTCTCGTCGTTTTCTATGGGATTTGCGCAGTGAAATTTCGGGAACTGTTTGATTCGTCAGAATTGGCTTGGCCTTGTGGATTCGGCTCATGTTTTTACCAGGATTCTCTTCTTCTTCTGATTATTAGTATTATTTTGCTTGTTTTGAGTCATACGATTCTATTCACCTCGAATTGGGAGTGTTTTTTTTTATAATAAACTAACCCTGCAATTCCGGCGGTTTGTAGTCGAAATCTGTTCTAATCCTTCCTTAATTTTGTATTTCCCCTTCAAATTATGATTTGCCGGACTGTTTGGTAAACTGGACTGTAGTGCCTGCATGTGCGGGGTCTAATTTGGTGAGTTCCGCGCTCGTCTGACTCCATGAGTTCTGTAGCAGCTCGCTCAACTCGTAGTTTCGCGTGGTGTCGCGTAATTCTCTTACTATTCGCGCGCCTGTTCCTTTCTGGGCGACGAATTTGCTTCAGATAATCAAACGTTTATTTATTGTAGAACTGAGCCTAATGTGGCAAACATTTAATTTCGTGGTTAGTTTTGAGGTGTTTCTTAATTCGAACTGTTCCATAGATTTGGCCATTTCTGGAAAGGATTTGACCACTTCAGTTGCTATTTTTGTCTGTGTTTCTGCTATTCTACGACAATAGGTTTGATATGATGTGATTTGCGGGCTATAACCCTAGTGCTTCTTAATATGAACTCTTTTATTTATGTGAACTGATCTTTAGGTGATCTGAGAAGTAATTTTGAACTATATGGATATGGATGCATTTCTATATTTTGTGATTGAGATGGTGCACAGCTGTTGGATTCTCTGTATCAACAGGAGAGTTTGACTTTTTTTAGCATGCTACCACGTGTATTCTGGGTATTACCTGCGTGGCTACTGGCTACAGTGGCTTTTATTGCGGGAACAAATTTAGTGAGCTCGCCTTTTGTAGAATTCAGCCCCGGCCTTTAGGCATATAGACTGGTGTGGAAAAGTAAGCACAGTTGACACATGTTCATAATTACTTATTTACATTAGTTCGATTAGACGCTTCCTTTTGGGTTGTGATATTCTGTTTACATCAGCTGAGACAAACTTTTCAAGCTATGCCCACTTCACTTTAGTTTGGCATCTTCCATTACAATATGCCATTTCTAGCTATAATTTAGTAATGAAATGTGTATACAGTGCTCTAACAGGATGAGTAATTGCTTCTTCTTGTGTGCTCAGATTAAGGAGACCGGTTCTCTTGAGCTGGGGACTGCAAAGTATAAGTGGCTTCAGTCATTGCGCTCAGGGTGTTTAGATCAAGGGACCAATGCCTCCAGGATAATGGCAGGGAAGGATGGAGTTACTCTGAAATCTGTGTCATACGGGGCAAGATTATGCAGGAGTTGTGATGCGTCACTGAGAGAGGAGGTCCATGAGAAATCCATTCTCGAAACACAGAGTAAAGAAGTTTGATCTATCTAGCCTAGATTGGATTGATGAGATTCCAGATTGCCCTGTATTTTCTCCATCAACCCAGGAGTTTGAGGATCCTATGGTTTATCTCAGCAAAATTGCCCCTGTGGCTGCAAAATATGGTAATAGTTGTTCTCTGTATCCTTTTCCTTTGTTGATTATAGTCTTCTAGCTAGGTAACAAGGTCAAGTGTTGATAATGATGATAGACAGAGAACTAATGGTTGACAGATGTAGTTGCATGAAAACGACATGAAGAAATTAGCAATGAGAGTTGCTATACTTACACACTGGTGACACTTTTGTCCCTAAACTACTAAATTATCTCAGGTGGCGAATTGTTCAAGTGTAGGGACCTACCGAGATAATTGTGAAGTTTAGATACCTAAGTATTGCCACCTTGCATGTTTTGGCATCTCGGAAGCAATTTTTGCTAGCAACCTTTCTGAGATGTGCCCCATAAATCTTGTTCTTTAAACAATGCACTCAGATCTTAATCATACAGCCCCTTTGTTTACGGTAGTATGTATTCATAATCTTCATCATTAATGCATATAAATAATGGTTTTTCGAGTTCCATGTGCCTGCTGAAAAAAAAGATGAACCAATGCTCACACATGGATTTTTAAGTAAGTTTCTGTGAATATTGTGTTGTTGTGACCATGTGCAATTACCCAGGTATATGCAAGATCATTTCACCGATCTCTGCTTCGGTACCTGCGGGCACTGTGCTAATGAAGGAATTAGGTGGGCTTAAGTTTACGACCAGAGTTCAGCCTCTCCGTCTTGCTGAATGGTCCAAGGATGACAAGTTTGCCTTCTTCATGAGTGGAAGGTTTGTATGGCCATTCATATTGCATAGTGCATGATATGCGATTTTAATTGTTTGCGGTGCATAACATGGTAGTACAAATTATCAGAAAGTACACATTTCGGGAGTTCGAGAAGATGGCAAATAAAGAATTTGTACGAAGATACTCCAGTGCTGCTTGTCTTCCATCAAGGTATATGGAAGAGGAGTTTTGGCATGAAATAGCTTTTGGCAAGATGGAGTCTGTCGAGTATGCATGTGATATCGATGGTAGTGCATTTTCTTCTTCTTCTAATGACCAGCTTGGGAGAAGCAAATGGAACTTGAAGGTACTTATTTTGTGTCCCAGTTTCTACAGGCATTTATGTGCTTAATTTCACGCAACGCCTAAAACTTATCTTGCACTGCTTTACCTATTTTGCCGTATTGGTTGCATATAATCTGCTGATATTCTGTGTTATGACTCAGCTCAAAACTTGTCTTCAAGTGATATACGTGATGAATTTATCTTTAATCATTCCATAGTAGGGACCCGTCTAAAATAGTAAATGTAGTCTGTCTAATTTGTATGAGTATTTGGTAAACAATGGGCACATTCTTCTACTCAAGAAATCCACATTCCTTCTATTGTTTCTTCGTCAAGGTTTCTAACCCTGATGTTTTTATGATCATCTGGTGATCTTATGATCATTTCTGGCAATGATGATGGTATCATAAAGTATTTTTGTCCGTGCTTTGATCCAGAGATTCTCACGGTTGCCGAACTCTACACTACGTCTTCTCAGAGCTGCAGTTCCAGTGAGTTGATCGCACTGATGAATTTCCATCCTGCCTTTTTCAGTTACTTACATTTCATATATTTTCAGGGAATAACAGATCCAATGCTGTATATTGGGATGCTCTTTAGTATGTTTGCCTGGCATGTGGAAGATCATTACCTGTACAGGTGAATGATCTATGGGAATTTTTATCCATACAGCCACTTGAGGGGAACTGTTTATCTATACCACCAAGCTAGTCAATGACATGTGGAGTCTGATCCTACATGTCATTTTTTTTGAGGGAACAATCCTACATGTCATTGACACAGACTGATGGTATAGATAAAATGCACATCTCAAGTGGCGGCATAAATGAAAATACTCCCACTATCTATATTTTTTTTGTCATTATTCTTTGCATGATACTGCTCGTTGACACTTCTGTCATTCTCATGTGAATTATCATTTTGCCAGTATTAACTATCACCACTGTGGAGCCTCAAAAACATGGTACGGTATTCCAGGAAGTGCTGCTTCTGATTTTGAGAAAGTGGTACGTGAGCATGTATATGATCACGAAATTTTATCAGGTGAAGGGGAAAGTGCAGCATTTGATGTTCTTTTGGGGAAGACTACAATCTTCCCACCTAATATTTTGCTGGATCATCATGTTCCAGTCTATAGAGCCGTACAGAAACCTGGAGAGTTTGTTGTAACATTTCCCCGAGCTTATCATTCTGGTTTCAGCCATGGTAAGATCTCTTATGTAATTACCTGCAGTCATCTACTTTCTGTAACTATTCAACATCTTGAATCTTCTATTTTATTTTATGATTTATTGAAAACCATTGAACAAATGTCAGGTTTCAATTGTGGCGAGGCAGTAAATTTTGCTACAAGCGAATGGTTTCCTCTAGGAGCAGTTGCTAGTCAACGTTATGCACTTCTGAAGAGGATACCAGTATTACCTTATGAGGAGCTTCTTTGTAAAGAAACAACATTTTTTACTAATGAGTTTTCCATGTCTGATCACGGAGATGTAGCATTAACTGGAGACACACATATACAGAGCTCTATGAAGGCCCCCTTTGTGCAGTTGATGCGGTTCCAACACCGTGTTCGTTGGTCACTTGCGAAAATGGGTGCTCGTACACGCTATAAAGCAGACATTGACGCCACAGTTCTCTGTGGAATATGCAAACGTGACTGCTATATAGCTCACATTATGTGTAACTGCAGAGCCGATGCAATTTGCCTTTGTCATGGTAAGGTCGTTTTGCACTTATTACAGATTACAGATATTTGCTTCATTTGTGATTATCTTATTTACTTATTTACCTTGTTTTGAAGAGGAAGAAATTAGGAAGTGCTCTTGCAACTGTGATCGTGTTATTTTTGTGAGGAAAGACATCTTTGAACTGGAGGAACTATCAAAGAAGTTTGAGAAAATTGGGGTATTGGATGAAGTAGGAAAACAAATGTCTCAAAGTGATGGCTCTAGCACGCATCCTTATTTGTCCAATGGCATTGACCACAATGCTAAATACTTCCCATATTGCAAGATCCTAATTGATACATCCCTGAACTTCATACCTTGTCAGAGGTAGATGTTCTTGGATATGATCTGAATAAGCCATATCCTACATTATCAACAATAACTTCTGCACATGGACCTCAGGAGTATTCTACACAAAGTGATGTATGATGCCTACCTTCTCTACTTCTGCTTTTCTGTGTATTATTTGGGTAACTTAAAACTTTTATGTAACTTTATTTTTGCAGGAGTGTACTAGTTCTAACCGAAGAACATTCTCTAGCTTATGTCCAGAGAATGGAATGATTAATGTTTATCCTTTATGCACTGATCAAGCATTGGCTGCTCAGGATACTGATGATTCTGACTGTGAGGTATTTAGAGTTAAGAGGCGAACTGGCATAATTCCAGAGAAAAGATGTTCAGAAGATGTAACAGTAAATTTAACTGAGAATCAGGTACTTTTACTTTTGTGATTTTAACTTAGTTTAACTGCTCCTCCTCCATTTAAGAGTGGATGGCTCTGCAGTATGTTTGTTAAACTTTGACAAATAATGATTAGATTGGTCATGTGATGTTAACGGTGCGTACTAAGGGAGGTCAGACAACAACAACAACAACAACAATGGTTTGAAATTAGAATAGGAGGTCACAACAAAAGTACGGCTATAAGAATATTAGGGGTACAATATATAAGATGTTTGCTTGATTTCCAGGATCAAGTGTCCCTTCCTATTTCTGTCCAAAAAAAAAACATGTCCCTTTCTATGATGATGGACTCACTCAACTAATATAACTCAAATCTAATCTAACATATCCAAGAACTGGGTTTGTTGTAAGTGAACTGACTACAACTAGAATTCTTGTTCGTGTTGGATTTCGACTTCTTGTTCCTCCTGGACATCTTGCTATCCGCTAGCATTGGACTCTGGTGCCTGCACATCTGTGCCGCCCTTGCCATGCTATTTCACACTGTTGCGTCATTGCTGCAGCTCCTTTGTGAACCCAAGTCCATAACTTTACAGCCCTTCCTGACAAGCAGCTCACCTCTGAGCTGCAGGACCTATCTAACTCAACTTCTTGTTCTTCAACATCCTTTTTTTTATTTCAACTTTTTATTCTTCTTGGACACTTTGCTACCTGCTAGTATTGAATTCCTGCACCTCTATGAATCTATGATTGTGCTGCAGAACGCAAATACGTTGCTGCTAAACCTGCTGTGAAGGGTCCTCGTCCACACGACCACAATAGTACTAATCATGAGTAGGGCATACCTTAACACATAAGTTACCTATATTTGAATGAAGGGTTATTATTATTTTAATTAATTAAGTTGTTGAGACAGGATGTTGTATTGAACTTAAACAATCGACCTGGAACAGTTTCTGGGCCTGTTTGTTTTAGCTTTGGATTCTTAAAAGCTAGCTGCATATTGCAGGTTGTTAAAAGCTTTATTCTTTAAATCTGTAAGCTGGTGGGATGCATCTTGTGGATCGTGGTGTAAAAAGGGTTGGGTTCTAACAATCTACTTTTAAAATACACCCTGATTATTTTAGCTTCAGCTTTTAGAACTAGAATCTAAAATTCAAAGCTAAATCAAATAGGCCCTTAGTTGTGCTAGTATTTTTGGAACCTTATTTCCTGAGTTGTATATAATTATCTTTAACATAAAAGAATCATCATTTTATACCAATCCTTTAACCTATTTGATGTACCCAAAGTTTTTTTTATGCACGATAAAGTTGTGGACAGGCTTAAACAGGTTTGACTCTAACCTGCTATGGAGATTGGCTAATCAAAATCTATGCTACTGCACGTACGACTCTCCTAGTTTCTAAGCTTCATTTAAAAACTATTAGCAAAATGATCACTAAACCTAAACGATGGATTAAGGAGCTTAATTCCCTAATAAAAGACATAATAAACAATCAAACATGGAGAGACTTTACACAACAATAACTGCTCAGAAATAGCAATTAAACCAATTTACTTAACAGGACGTTTTTAATGAATGGTTAGATAAATGCACAACCTTTTTTCAGAACTTTCAGTATTTACCTTAACTCATGCCGCCTACTCCTTTACTAATGGCTTACTCATTGTTTGTTTTGCTAGGCTTTAAGACGGTTAAAGAAAGCCAGCTCAGATGACAGACAAGAGAAGAACACAACAGAAGTATCCTGTGGTACAAGAAGTGGCAATCTGGGTGCTGAATCGCATTGTCTTGACTCCATTTCTGGAAATACAGATAACTTCATCAATCGAAGCAAACTAAAAATGAGGATAGATCAGCTAGATGCAAAAATTGTGCAAGACGAAGTTGCTTTCAGCCAGAAATCTATCGGTTGCAGTTACCTATCTCCATCTGTAGATCTTGGGCCAAAACGCTTGAAAATTCGTGGCCCATCCTTCCCAAGCACTGTTTCTGAAGTGGAAATATCTTATAGGTTCCAGGAGGACAGTGACTTGGCTAGTCAGCACACTCAATGAATTATGCTGCTATTGGTGCTAACTGCTAACATCAATCGTAACTTCTGGAATATGAAAGCTCATTTTCATTGGATGGTTCGGTACTGATTTTTTCTACAGGTCTCCAATGGAGGTACTGTTATGGCTAGATTTTATGATTCTATTGCCAGGTCACCTATGTGGCATGGGGCCTGAAAGCTGTAGGCAGGCAATTTTTCTGATGATCCGTAGCTGTATATCTTCACTTATTTCCTTTCTTTGTCGGTTTTCCACTGTGAAGAGGTTAGTCTACTACTTTTAACAATTTCTTTCATTCTTTTTCCACCACAGATACACCTGTACCTAGAATGCTTTAATAGATCCTCATACGAAATGGACATTGTACATTTCTATTAACGAGTCAGTCTTTGCTCTTTTTTAGTCTTTGCTCTTTTTTTAGTCTTACCGCCTGTGACCGGAAGGTCCCGGTTCGAGTCGCGGTCTCCTCGCATTGCACAGGCGAAGGTAAGGCTTGCCACTAACACCCTTTCCCAGATCCCGCACAGAGCGGGAGCTCTCTGCACTGGGTACGCCCTTTTTAGTCTTTGCTCTTTTTTATAATCTGGAATCATTTGCATTTTCTTATTCTTGTGCCATTGTTGGTACTGGTACATTTGTCCCCAGATGTGTTGATAACTTTGATATGTTAATAAAACGATTGATGCTGACAGGAATTCACTACCACTGACTGTCATGTTGCATATGCAACAAAGTAGATGCTTTGTGATAATGTTGAAGCGCATGCAAATGCTCGAATCAATCATGTCCTATAGAAAGTGGATATAACAGAAGGAATAAAGGAGCAACTCAGTCTCAACTCCTTGCTGTTAGATCCTGATCTACTGAAATCTGTCATATAAGATTTACTCTCTCTTGTACGTTCAGGATATAATATTTGGTTAGACAATTATTTTAATTTCATTATGTATCTGGTTGGTTAGTTGAGTAGGTAATTTTGACTCACCCTAAGTAGCTTCTATTTGTAGAATGAATTCGTCCATTCCAATTCTCGATAATACTTTAGGTAGTCTAGGTAGAAATTACTTGCTGTTTCTTGTCTCAATGCTTTTACAAAATTCTGCAAATTAGGCATTATATACCTCATATCATTGGTTTTGCATAACGTATTAAATTACTCGGTCCTGGTGGGACAAGGACAATAGCCAGTGCTGGGTTTCTTACTTCCACTTACCCACGGACCATCATTCTGCTCCACCTGTTGACAAACTGAACTTCTTGACGAGGGCATAAAAGAGCCATTACTGATTACTCTACAGTTTGGTGTGATTTTTTGCACGACTATCGCACTTTACCTCGGTAAAGAGGCTAGCCCTTCACTAAAAACTCATGATGGGGTTCATATGGAAAGATTTGATATCTTTCTCACTTTGCGTATTCACTTTTCATTCTTTTGTGCATGTTCTCAAAAAATACATGTTATCAAATCATCGCATGTCTTTAAAGACAAGTAAAAAAGAAAGAGGGATTCTCTTTGCTGCCACTCTCACATGTCGATGATGATTAAACGCTGAGTGCTGAACTGCTGACTGAAGCTTTGCCATGACCCCAAGAAGAATGCACTTTTGTCCTGTTCGTTTGGCTGATAAGCATAGCTGAAAGTACTGTTGGTTGATTTGTTGTGAGAGAAAAATATTGTTCGTTGACTGAAAAAGTACGGCTAATAAGCCAAGCGAGGCGTTTGTGCTTGTCCTGTTTTCTATTCGGCTATCATGTCAGCCTCATCTGATGATAGGTGCAGCATTAAGGCGAAGATACGCTTCACAACTGTAAGTGCGCCTGAGATGCCTTTGCTTTCATGTCATCTCTTATTTATGAACCTTGTTCAAAGACAAATGTTCCATATCCTAATTAGGAAACGACCGTGGTTTCAGTGTCTAGGCTAATTGCAGAAAACAATCTTCTGATGGAATCTAGAAATTGCATTATTGTCCGCACATTAGGCACTTCCGAATACACTGCTGTGTCCAACTAATATAAAAGGGCAAAAAACGATCCTATTTGGATCTTTCCCACACAGTTGCCACCATGGTCTGGTCATAGTCTAAAACTCTTAAATGTCCCAAGACTTTTAGGATGAAGTACTATCCGCCACTTTTGCCATGTGCTTATTGTCCAACATGCTAATAACTCAAGCTAGGCATTGCTCTTATAGGTTTCTGCCTACTGCTAGGTTACATGTGGTATCCGAAAGCTGCAACTGGCTCACATACTGATACTGGTAGTACAGTATGGTCTAATGGAGTGGGCCTGTCGAGTCATGCCTTGGCCTCCCAGTTTCCCTTTGCACGCACCTCTGCTGGATTTAAGGTGGTGGCAGAGTTGTTAGCCAGATGACGCTTCATTCCAATATTTTCTGCGCCGCGGTGGCCTGTGGGCTCGTGGCCTGGCTTCAGCATAGGTCCATGACCATGCTATGCACGCAAGCACAGCAGTGTACACTGATGCGTGTACCTTGTTGAGTTTGTTGCATGGCCTCTGCCTCTGCCTGGCCTTGAATGGATATCAAAATCCTCAACCAGATGTGACCACACTCTGGAAGGAGACAAACCATTAAAGGCCACAGAGTTCAAGGACTCCATATCTTGACCTACCTGCTCATTGCATCAGTACCATGGACCAAATCCTGGTATATACATACACCTTGGAAGTTCATGCACGGTACTGGTATAGTATCCGATTCTCACAACAGTCGGACAAGTGGGTAATGTTGGGGTGAACCAAAAAAGTTTGGGTAGAGCCGGATCTAAGTGTTGGCTAGGTAAACGCCCCGTAGTAAGAGGGGTAGTTATGAACCCTGTGGACCACCCCCATGGGGGTGGTGAAGGGAAAGCCCCCATTGGTAGAAAAAAGCCCACAACCCCTTGGGGTTATCCTGCGCTTGGAAGAAGAACTAGGAAAAGGAAAAAATATAGTGATAGTTTTATTCTTCGTTGCCGTAAGTAAATACGTAACTAAAAATATGGAAAATTGCATTTTTGGAAATTACAATAATGCGATGGGCGAGGCGTAAGGACTGTAACTTGGGTGAAGGTTTGCAAACTCTTGATTCCTATACGTCTGCGTTACTGATCCTACAATCAAACAGCACAGAGTTCTGCAGGCTGGTTTAGGTCTGAAGTTCTGCACGACCAAAGAATTAAACTCCGTATAGTCAGCTTATGCAGAAACGCTGCAGAAACTGAGGAACTAGGAGATAGACTGCAATTCACGTGCATGACTCAGTCTGGACCTTGCAAATTGAAGTGAGTATAAATTCATTTACCCAAAGCATCATGTGGCTGAGCGACTGAGCCGATCCAATATAGAGTATGCAGCCTTGCCGTACCACCCCTACTAGCTCGCCTATATAAGGGGGTGTTTGGTTCTTTAGGCGCTCCTAAAATTCATGTCACATCGAATGTTTAGATACTAATAAGAGGTATTAAATATAGATTAATTACAAAACCAATTACATAGATGGAGGCTAATTGTCGAGACGAATTTTTTAAGTCTAATTAATCTGTCATTAGCATATGTTTACTGTAGCACCACGTTGTCAAATCATGGACTAGTTAGGCTCAAAAGATTCGTCTCGTAAATTAGTCGCAAGTTGTGCAATTAGTTTCGTAATTAGTCTATATTTAATACTTCATGCATGTATTCAAACATTCGATGTGACAGGAATTTTAGGAGGAGCCTGAGGAACCAAACAGGCCCTAAGTTTTGAAAAAGAAAACAGATGCTTCTTGTCATCTCATGCTAGGTCTAAGTGTCTAAATACAAGTCCAGTGGTTAGTCACCCAAAATCCTGCTTAAACAAAATAGCTATTGGTCTAAGCAAGCAGATCAGGCTTTCTAATATAGTAATGATTATACAATCATGCCCCTTGCATTGTAGGCATCGCCTTATCTTATTCCTACTTACTAGATCAAATCAGATTTGTTCCGTAGTGCCTTCTATATATTGTCAGTTCATGAATTGCTTAATGCAGTACAAGTAGTAATATACCCTCGCGGCATATTGTGTCGCCCTTTGACTGATTATTAGTCATTTCTCCATGTCAACGTCACGGATTATGTTATTCATCTTGTCTGTGCATGGAATCTGGTATCCTGATTTCTCTAATCCACGCAATACTTGCTTGGATGCCCTAAGTATGAGTGTTAGCTACTGTCAGCACGATGGTTTTTTTTTAAAAAACAGAACTGCCACAACACGTGCACTGTACCTGCAGCAGCACCAGCAGAGTATATATTAGGAAGGGAGGGCTGAATGGTAGACGAATTCAGTAATCCCGCCCCTACCCCATGAGTGACGGTCAAATTGTGGGCAAGGGTGCGGTTTTGACTGTCGGTAGCTGGACCGGGACACGGACGGTGGGGTTCCCGGCCGGATGTGGCCGTATGATGGGTGGGGCCGGCGCCGACCGGCCAGCCGGCCACGAGGCATGCACCGCATGGTGATGGAGCCAGGCATCATTTACCAGCGGGCAGCGGCGCAGGCGACCCGCTCCTTGGGCGTTACGTGTGTGACTGTGCCTCCACCTCCCCACAATTTTACTACAAGCAGCTCCGTCCGAGAGGGGCGCGGCTAGCTGTTGGTCTGGCTGCTGTTATTGCTGCTGTCCCCATCCGTGCACATGCCGTGATGCCGGGGATTGTTCTTATGTTACCGCTGCTACGACTTTTGTTAAGCAATGGCAATGCGTGCATGTCTCCCTGCCGTAGACTTTGCACACGTCAGGCGGAAAAGGGGGTTGGGGAATCGCTTTCGCTTTAGGCTTGTTTAGACTTTACGCCCTTTCACATTGAACGTTGAACACGTACGTAGAGTATTAAATATAGACTTAAAAAATAATTAAATATATAGTTTACGACTAATTTATAAGACGAATCTTTTAAACATAATTAGTCCATATTTTGACAATGAAGTGCTACAGTACACACATGTGCTACTGACGGATTAATTATGCTTAATAAAT